GCTGCAGAGCATCTTGCAGAGGAAGAAATTGGACTGGCACTTCATTTATCGTGGGGAAGTGGCCAGTGTAAACTTGACTCATGTATACTAACTAGTATGTCACCTGCTGAGAAAGCCAACTGTAAAATTAATTGTCAGGAATATGACATGTATACTTTTGCTAATTGGCTTCAGTGCAATTATATCCAAAGGCCCCTTTCACGGTCATTCATAGAGTTTAATTGCTATAGTTTAATATTACAATTTAAAAAGGCCTGGAAGGAGAGCTGAATATTAGGCTTCTGATGAATTATAATTATCACTTTGTGTAGATGGATGGAAAACATTTCTAATTAAACTACTCTTGTTACATAAATTAATAGTGTGATCTGGATAAAGTACTTCTGATTTCACATTTAAAATATTTCTAAGAGCACCACGTTTGTGCCAGAATTTCACTTGGCAGGTTAAACTGTCTTTTAAAATTACCTGACTTTTCAGACAATAGCAGTTTATCTTTGGTTTCTGCAGTGAGGATGCAGTGAGGATGTCTGGCAATGATAGAATGATTCAAGCCTTGCACAGAGAATAAAGTCAAATAAAATAAAACTATGCAACTAGTATAACTTCCTAGTTCTACGAGCATGAGGGATTCACAGTCTGACAGGAATTCATAGCGTGACTGTCACACATTTTCTTCTTGTATTAATGTCATCTCTGTCTGAGGGTGTTTGCGAGACATGAACTGTTAAGCTAATACTTTGAAAACAGGAAAGCTCATTAGCAGCTCTAGGGTAGGGAGTGAGATGGGCAAGGAAGGTGCAGGTCATTAAAGGTTTGAAAGAGAAGGAAGTGTGAAAGTTTTAAGAAGGATTACTTGACATGCAATCTGTCTGTGGTCTGTAAAAACCCGATGCTTTTTGTATATCTTGAATTTCTTTCTCATTAGTGAGATGTGCAATGAATAAAGTAAACAGGCAAATGAAAAGGTTTCAGCTCAAGGTGTCAGACTGCATTTCAAGAAGTGGATTATAGATAATCGTTCTCAGATGACCGGTAGCTTCATGGCCTAATACATGTAGCTGACACATTAGGTGTTGACAGCAGCTGTTTCCAATAGGCCTCATTAGACATTTGGTTTAAGATTTTAGAGCCTCTGTCTGTGACTCCAACCAGGTATTTTTGAAGGACATAAAGTGGCAGATAGATGGCCACCTTCTGACAAGATAGTGAGAATACTGTGCCAAGGCATACCCTGTGTGTAGGGAAGACTGTCCCTGAAATTTTCTGCATGCATGCCCTCTTGTGTATGCAGATTAGCGCTTACTTTATATATCAAAATTTGGCACTACTGTATCTCTCTAAACATCGCATTAATCCATCTGTCTGTCACCATGGTAACAAGGCTCCCTATTGATGACTGAAGAAGAGCTGAACCATTAAAACTAAATGTACACTGTTAAAAAAAAAGTGAGCAAGCTCACTTGGTGTAGCACTACAGAGACCTGAATGGTCAAAAGTGGGCTAATTAATATTTTCTATGCATTATTTTTATAGATTATGTATATTACAGATATGAAGTAAACCCTGTTGCTAAAATGATCCTTAAATCTGATCTTTGCTTCTTCACATCTGTTTTTCATACACTCTGCTGAACTCAGTATTTAAAAATGAGCATTTTCTCAGACGTTTACATGTTCTGTGGTATATATTTATCCCGGAGTATGGAAAAATGAAGTAAATATCTTAAAGGTACCAAGTGCAAAGCAGAATAGAAATGTTGCTGAATATTTTATTGCACATTTTCTTTCTCTCTCGCTAGCTTCTGTACTTGTAACTTTGCCAAAATAAAATCAGTAAAGTGCACACATTCATTAAAGGATCAATGTCTAACTGAGTGCTGTTGGTTAGTTGGACCTGGTATTTTTTGAGAAGCACAATGTTGTGGAAACTCTGACATGAATTACTGAACTTCATAAATCATTCTTGGACAATGAATTTCTATTTTTTATTACACTGGCGCCACATATGCTATTAATGGTAGACTTGAGTCTATAATTCTATTAGGCTATAAAGAGGTCTTTGATTTTAGAGCTGAAATAAAGCTTAAAACTAACAGCTGACTTCTCCTTCTGTGTTCACTGGATGGAGCTTTTTGTTCTCTAGTAATGTCAGGACTAGAGAAAGAAATGTGAATGCTGCGTTTAAGAACACTTTATCATATTCACTGAACTGAAAGTATGATTATTCTTTTCTATGTCAGGATTTACAGCTCTTTGATACCTGGTTTAAACTGTGGCCCTGATATTATAATAAGCCCTTGGGTCAGGAGGTAGCCCCACAAGAGTGTTTTATCAGACACATGGAAGGTTGAGAGGTTGGAAGGTCAGATGGAAACATTGCTCTAGCTGTGCATAGGGAAGTGGAGTTTGTACATGTGCACATATGTTGCATATATGTATATCAGGTAGATTTTATTAAATCTAATGTCCTAATGAGCAAACATGGATGGTTTGCCTTTTTACAGGGTATATGAACCCTTGGATGACCTGAAAGATCAACTGAACCTACTTGGTAGAACCAGGAGGCACGGATGCTACTATGCAGCATAAAGTTTCCAATTCACAGCTGACATTTAAAATGCTTTCAGCTCAGAATAAGTTAAAGAACTTCCAGGTTTGCAAAAGCGACCTCCCTCCCTCCTTTCTTCCCCCCACCCCTCTCAAGGAGATGGAGGAACATGATCCCTTAAACTGATAGAAAAGAGTACTCCTGCCTAATATGAAGCAGACAAGAAAGTAACAACTGAAGAGAGTCTTCCTAGTTTTGCCTTTGACAAAAAATAAAAGAAAGTATAATTCTGAACTTGATAAATGCCAGGGTTGTGGCATGTATTGCTCTGGGTGGACAAAGACATGATAACACGATCTGACAGTAAATGCTTTTGGAGGTTATAAAAGTGGCACTTGGCCATGCAGATGATGGCCCTCTGTGATATATGTTGTGATCTAATTTCACAGAATCACAGAATATGCCAAGTTGGAAGGGACCCACAAGGATCATCAAGTCCCACTCATGGCCTTGCACAGGACCATCCACAGACTTCTTGAACTCTGTCAGGCTTGATGCTCTTACCACTTCCTTGGGGAGCCTGTTCCAGTGCCCAACCACCTGCTGGGTTAAGAACCTCTTTATAGCATCCAACCTAAACCTCCCCTGGCATTGCTCCATGTAATTCCCTCGGGAGATCAGCCCCTCCTCTTCCCCTCACAAGGAAGTTGTAGACTGCAATGAGGTCTCTGCTCAGTCTCCTCTTCTCCAGGCTGAACAGACCAAGTGACCTTAGTCGCTCCTCACACGGCTTCCCCTCAAGGCCCTTCACCATCTTCATTGTGCTCCTTCGGACACTCTCTAATAGCTTTATATCTTTCTTATACTGAGGTGACCAAACCTATTTGTCTTTGTTCCAAGCAGTACATCACCTCCACCACTGGATCCAGCAGGCCTTCCAAGACAGTGACAGCCACAAGCACAATTTCTCAGTGTTCCTCTAGAGACCTAAGCTTTCTAAGATTTTAAGGAGATCTTTGTTGATCAATACAATTCATTTTTGCTTTGCCAATGGTTAAAACAACAATGTATATATTCCCAGGCTACAATTAATTTCAAATAGTTAATTATATAAATAATCCTCCAGTGCAATCAAATAGCATTCCTAAGGATGGAAAGAACTTTGGGGTTTTACTTACAAAATTATAAATTGTAGCAACTTTTTAATTAAATAGCAAAAGATTGTGATAATATTCAAAATTTAAAAGCCTTACCTCTTAAAAATTACTATTCCCATTCTAATTCATACTTTAAAAAAAGTAGGCTGTCTTTTCGAACAGTATTTTCAAAAATAGTATTCTTATTTTCACAATTTTTAGAAATTGCAACATTTCTCCTTTTTTAAATTGCATTTTGCAAGATCTGGACAACAACCTTTTTTACTCCAGTGAATTCCTTCCTCTCTTGAAAACCTGATGTTGTGAAAATTTCCTTTTCTTCAAAACTTGTCATTGTAATAAAAACTTGGTTCGAATCCTCACAGCACAGGAGAGTTACTTCCCCACTTTCTGTCTTCAAGCTAAGTAGTACCTATGTCCTCTTGTCCTCCCATTCCCAATGGAAGAAAACTGAGTGTCCATAGAGGGCATGCTTCTGTACTGCCCATAGATTTGGCTACTATTTATGTACAGTGGAGTATTTCTTCAAAAGCTGTCCTGGCACCTTCTGACTTTCACCCCCGTAAAAACCCCATCAAAGGAGGAGTCACATAGCCTGACAGCCCGCCAAGCAACTTCCATCCTGAGCATTCCTTATCCATGGTAGCCAAATCCACTGCTTCTCTTTTGAAGTGGTCTGCATAGCAACACTAGATGGAGACTTAATAGGTAAGTACTTGGGTTTATTTATTCAAGGGGTTAATTGTGGTGAACTCTTCTGAGAAATACTTAGATCTACATGTATTGTACAAAATGCTTTTATTTAAAGTTTTCTGCTTGCCATCCATTTTGAGTAAAGTGTTCAAAGGCAAGTATTTTCTTCCCTCATCTCAGCTCCATGGCTGGCCACGTGGAGAGGGATAGCAGGGAATGTGGCCTGCCTCTGTCTGGCAGGGATATAGAGCAGGCAGCAAAACAGAGAGATACAGCTGATCTGCCTAAGAAAGCCTGGGTTTTGTTCTTGTGTGAGCCTTTCATGGCACAGGTCTGACAACTGACCTGTGCAAAGAGCATTCCTCAGCCTGCCAACTTCTCAGAGGCAGAAGAGGATCTAAGCTTATGAAGTGTAAGAAGATGGAGAGCTGTAGCCTTTGGTAGGCTGGTGGAGAGATAAACTGGTGCTTTTCATGACTTTGGAAGGAGGTGGGAAAAGGAAGTGGGAGGATTGAGTTTTTTTAGTCTTTTTGTATAGAGAGGAAATTCTTGCATTTGTCTTCTTGAGGAGGTGCAGAGGAAGGAAGGAAATTAGTGCTCTTTTTTTGGACATGTATGGAGAGAAACATTCTGCCCTGTGAGCACTGGTTGGAACAAACACTGATTAACGTAAAGGCCTTTCTTGCCCTACAGACCCAGGTGGTGCTTCTGAAGCTGTGCTATTGCTAACACATATTTGCCTACCATGCCAGGGCTCAGGATTGCTCAGAGGCAGCAGCAGTGCTGAGATGAATAAAGATAGACTGAAAGACAATTTTATGGGGCTATTCCATGTTGAAGAGTTCACCAAAACCCACATAAAGAGATGGTATGGGATTTATCTGGTTGTAGGGATTCTCACAGAACATGGGAAACTGTAATTCCCTGAATCCTAGCAGTCCATGTGGTCAGCAAGCTGAGTGCATAGTCCCTCACAACATAGCATGTGAGCAGCTTGGCTGGGTACGGATACTTCATCCAAGATTAAAAAATTGCAGTGCCTGAAATAAACACAGGTTTTCCAGCTTTGTAGAAGCCAAGGTTCTGCAGAGGGGGAGAGAGTGCCAGCTACCCACTCTGGAAGAGTAAAGAATTGACAATGACTGATATTTTTCTCTTAACTGCAGCTGTAAGAACTACATAACCACATCCTGTGGGAATATGAATCTTGTCTTTTGTTCCCTGCAGTGGGAAGTCCACACTGGGCAAAGAGCTATCAATATTTCAGTGTTGCTGAAGATTATGTGGGGATACAGCCTGTGGAGAATGGCTTTGCAGACCTTGACTGTAAACAGACCCCCCCCTTGGATTTGCTGAAGCTCATCTGTACTAGATGCCTCCTAAATATGCATGGATGCCCAGAATGCTAGTTAGTGCAGAATGGCAGGTGCTAACTCTAAGACAGGCACTGAGTTTTTGATTATCTATTGCTTGTTCCAAATACAGACCATAACATGGTGCCACAGGGAATGTTAGTCTCCAAGATGTAAAACCTCTTTAAGTTATGAAGTATTGGTTATTGCAAAAAAAAAAAAAAAAAAAAGTGGTCCTTAGAGGGGAAAAAAGAAAATCTATTTTATACAAGTCATGAAGTTCCTGCAAGGTATTGGGGTATGACATCTCGTGGCTTACCTGGCCCTGTCAGGCTCAGCAGAGGCCCGAGATGCTGTCATGATTTCTTCAGTTGTTGCACAAAGAGCAGGTACAGTGGCAGGCACAGCAAGGAAAATAATAGTGGGTGGAGAGTGTGTGTAGTGTAGGCCACACAAAGGTTACGGATGTGTGCTAGGCGTATTTCTGAGAAACGTGCTGTGGTTAGCTGTTGTGGTTAGAGCAGACAATTGCCAAGTGTTGTGCATAATGCATGACAGGCAGGGCTGTGGTATGCAGATAAAGCGTGGGATGGATTTTGCACTAAAATGTGCTTCTGTGAGCGTGAAGAAAGGATGAAGCCAGCCTGCTAGGAAAACCCTAGCTTTGACCTGTGTGCCAAAAGCTAGTCTGCGCCAGATGGCCTGGATGAGAATCACAAAAAAAGGAAAGTTAAATTGGGTTCTCATAAATCCCCATGTGCTGCCCCTTCATGCCACAAGTAATTTGCTTTCTGTTAGAATTTCCCTGTGGAAGAAAACTGCTTCATTGCAGTTACCTTCAGAAGAGAAAAAATTGCAAGTTTTTACCATTTATTTCCCCTTACAAGATGTTTCTTCTGAGTAAGGTGTCCCTAAAAATCCACCTGCAGTTTCTCCCATAGGCAGTAACTGTCAGACTTTTCCCCTCTTGATGTCCTCTGCCCCTACTCCTCAGCTCTGAGCAGCCACCTGAAGCTTCAGCCATCAACTTTACCAAGTATTCACCATCTCTCAGGTATCCAGGGCTGATGCTGGTCTCAGACTCCTCACGGGTGTTTGGAGACTTTATTCTTATGCATGTAACCTCACTTCATAAATTTTTCCACATAAATACTTCTGTTTCTATCTCAAAGTTAAAACTTACTAAAAACCGAAGTTCATTAAGCTCAGATACTCACACAGGTGTTCCCCCCCTTCTCTCTTTCCATCTGATGTTACTGGTCACTTGGGGCTGTGTGGCCGAGAGGCAACTGAATTATGACAGTCCACTTCACATCCTTTGAGCTGGACAGAAGGCAGGCTGAGTATGTCCTGCTAGACTCAAGGTGAAAATGTTTCTCCAGTGTCTGCTTATACATACCTGTGGTAAAAATGAATATGTGGATCTCACATTGGGAGGAACTCTGGTTTCTGGTAAACATTTTGGTTACCTTTATATCTAGTCTGAGCTGAAATTGTTAGAATCATAGAATGGTTTTGGATTTGAAGAGACCTTAGAGATCATCTAGTTCCAACCCTCCTGCTGTGGGCAGGGACACCTCTCAGGTTGCTCAATGCCTCATCCAGCCTAGCCTTGAACGGGGCATCCATGACTTCTCTGGGAAACTTAACCTGTTCTCCAAATCTCATTCCTCTCTGATGTTTCTTTCCCATTTTGTTCCTGCTGGTATTTTGTACCTACACTCCTTTTAATCAAATAAAATATAATGATTCAGAATGCCTCCAAGACTTATCTTTGTATATTATTTATTGCATGAATAATTTTATTTGGAATTCTGAATAGTTTTCCTGAATTTGCTTATTACAGTTTTATTGGTTTAAGATGTGATTATACTTCAGGCTGCCATTTGCTCATCAGAATTCATTTATATGAATGCTAGTAGGTTAGTATAAACTAACTCTACAAAAAGTCAAATTTATAACCTCATTCTCCTATTCTGGTGTTAAAAGCATATGTTCTAAAGTATTTCCAAGTCACTCTCAGAACCTTGGCCAAAATCTTATCATAACCATACAAATAACCCTATACCTTTTCTTATACTAAGTTCTTGATTTTTTTTTTTAGAATTATTATTGGTTAAAAAAATTAAGGCTAATAATCTTACAGGGAAAAATAAAAATATGCTCATAATCTTACAGGAAAAAATAGAAATACGTCTTATGAGATCAATTTGGACATACTTGAAGAAAAACTTCTGAGAATGCTAAAAAGTGAGCCATTGCGTTGATTACAATATGAAATATGCATGTATTAAGTGAAAATCACATTTTCGTCAGATGATGATGCATCAATTAGTAGCAAAAGTAATTGCTAAAACTCTGGTGCCATAAGCACATACCTAGTTGGGCACACACTTCTGAGCAGAGCAAAGCCCATGCATTTAAGTGTTCACAGAAATATCGTAATGATAATGATAGTAAATAAATTAACAAAAATAGCAGAAAAAAGTTTTCGTTTTTTGATGCCTCTGACCACATTTGTGTATGATAAGTATCACATTTCTGTTGATTGTCAGACTTCCTTTCTCTACCACAGTGTTGTCAGCCATATGATTCATGAGTCATATCTAATCCTTTGAATACAGAGCTCATTGAATATTCAGATTCCACAGAGTATAAATTACCAAGCGAATGAACTAATTTTTTTTTTTATTCTGTTGGCTGGGGGGAAGGAACTCAGGCTTTCCAAATTCAAAATTAATTCCGTCCTTGCAGTGCTGCACCCCTGAACAGCACTCCTGACTTATTGTCCTGAAAACAATAGCTCTGAGAGGTGTAAAATGACCTGTTCTCTCTTATTCTTTTTGCTCAGTGTTTTATGGTAGGAAGGTGGGAAAGAGGGGTGGATGTGAAGTCCAAGACCAACACTGCTGTTTGCTGAAAGATAGTATATGCAGTGAGGGAGGGCAGGTCTAGAAGAGACACAGAACCAAGTTAGAGGTAGGGGAATAAAAAAAAACAAGAAACGATATATACTAAATCTTCCCTGTTAATGATGCTGAATGTGACAATGAAGCATCAAAGACATTTTCAAAAGCAGTTGGCTCCATTTTGAGATGGCCTAGTTAAGTGTTTAATGGTGCAGACAGCCCCCCTCTGGGATTGACAGAAGTCTCTAATTGCTCGATTCCCCTAGGAAAACTATTATGTATTTTGTATTAATCCATATAAGCACATATCATGGATGCATTCCACTGACAGCAACGGATGGTTCTCCTGTAAATGCTCAAAGTGCATAGTCCAAAACAGTGAAAAAGCCCACAACTATAATTATTAAGAAGGCTTTTCTTAAAATGAGCGTCATGCTCCCACATGAGCTGGATGGAATCACTTTCTTGCACTCCATAGCGAAGCATAAGTTCCTACTTTCCCACAGTACTGTGAGTGGGTGTTTGCTGCGGCAGCAGAGAAGAGAAGGAAGAGGCAGCCAGGAAATACACACAGAGGGGTAAAAAACTTTGTATATGAGATAAACTGGAGTGTACTTGCAGTTATTGTTTTGTCAACCAGGAGTACAGTCCCTTCCCTAGCCTCAAGTAGGAAACAGGAGGGAAAAAAAAAAACCACCTATAAAAAAGATACTCTTTTACACAGGAGATATTGGTTAAATAACACTATCACAAAACTTTTTTACTATGCTAATTGGTTAATTAAAATAATTGCAATTGACAGCATCCCTTTAATTACATGACCCTTTGTAGGTGTGTATTTTATTATTTTTTTTTGTTGTTTCCTATGGGAACAATCTTGGGCAATTGTTAAAAGTGTCATTCAGACTTTCCTTCTCTCCTCAAAGAAGAATTTGGAATTTGCTCAGCTGACTGCGAAAGAGAGTAGAAGCTTCAAGTTTAATTATATTTTTTAGAAGTTTCCAGAAAATCATTGAAAGACAAATTGATGCCAATGCTTTGTAAAGTACTTGGGTATTATGTATTACCATCCTGAGCAAGTCGTAATGAGATGGCTTATCCAACAATCCAGCACTACCAGACACAAAGGTTCTGCTTTCCCTTACTTCTCTGGTTTTAAGCTGCATGTTGTGTTCTCTCACTTTTTGCCAGCTCTTGCATCCTATGGGATGCCACCCTGAGCACATCTGGTTGAGCCTGAAGTTCAGTGTCAGCTTAGACCAATCTAACTGCTGCATACAGTCCTACTCTCTGCCCCTTTATTTTATATATATTTAAGTTTATATAATATATAAACTTATAAAGAGGAAAGCTCTTCTTTCACTTCCCTTTCCCTGGGCAATGTGTTCCTGCCCCTCCCTTATAGCAGTCCTTTGTCATGCTTTGTCATGTCCTTTCCTTTGCTGAGTCATTTCAGCATGAAAAAGTGGCAGAAAATGAACTTGGCAAAAAAAAAAAAAAAAGAATAGTTTTCTATTTCTGCTGATATTTTTGTATCAAGCTCTGTGAAACATCTGATAAGCAGTAGTGAGATTGCAAGGGAGAGGATGGAAGGATCTGAGGACAGGCTAACTCCCACACTTCACTGCTAGTTTAAGAGCAAGGAAATGTGGAGAGAGAGGCCTTCCTCCCTTGGTGCTTGTGAGTTGCGAGCTCAGCTCAGCCACTCACCCAACTTATGTCACTTCACTTTTGGTCATGTGGTGGCAGCCATCTGGTCACCCAGTTAGCCACAGTATGGGATTCTCTTGTCACATGGAGAGTGTCAATGCAGACCATGGGGAAAAGCACGGTGGTTGTGATGGGGAAAGAAAATCCAGCTTGTTTTATCCACTGCTCACACAGACACTCGTTTTAATATCATTTGTACAGAATGAGACCTGGCTCAACAGTGAGGAGTTTAGGCATGAAAACACCTAGAAATTGGAAAGAGACGTGTGCTGAAGAGTACAGAGAGGTACGACCCATGATCATATGTTTATTTCTCTAAAGTGCGAAGTTCGTTTCCTGTACATATTCTTAGAAAAAAAAAAAAGTGGTTTTAAAGAGGAAGCTCACTGAAGAAAAACAACTGGTTTGGTGAACGGGGATTAAGATAAAGCTGTATGAACAATATTAATCAAGAATTAGTAAAGTGAATACCTGACCTTCACTAAAGTATACAGAAATTTCTGTATAGTACCAACCAATTAAATTATGCTGTTCTGCATCAAGCAGTGATCAACACAAGGTTCTTCACAGGGAAGCAAAGCATCACACAAACTGTAATTCACTCCACTGTTTGTGCAGTGTACACTACTAATACATGATGAGGAACTGCAGAGAATTATTTCCTGCCTCTAGTGAGGGAACTTTCGATAGGACTGGAAAATTTGGTTTTTTTTCCTCATATAACTATACTTTCCTAGTTCTTTCTTTTGATTAGCTCATGTTCTGTGTCAGCTTCCCAGAATCAAAGACTTTTTTCTTTCCTTCACTCAAAACTTGTAAGATTTTGAGGCAGTCTCTCTTCATGTTTGGAAGCTGCATTGATCAGAAAAGCATAGCCAATTCTGAAAACTTGTGGATTTTAATTGCATTTTTAAGGAGAATTCTCATTTTATTCTGCTGGAATAAATTAAAATATCCAGAGATTCTGATTTCTATCCAAAGCAATGAAGTTATATGATAAGAGGTCAAAGTTAGAAGTCGAAAAACTACCAAAATATTCCAGACTCTATATGATTACGTCATGTCAGATTTTTAAATTACAAACAATTTTATTTAGCAATGTTGGACCCATGAAGTACAGATATCTTGCATAAAGAATGCTACAGTTTGCTAGTTTGTGTATATTTAATAGCTTAAATAATGTTTCCAACATATTTAAGCAGATTCTGACATGAAGCATGGTAACAGAAGTTCTGTATATGTAAGATGACATGTCATCACAGCAAATTAGCTTCCCTGTTGTTTTAAGACTTGCACTTATGATACCTCCACACTGCAGACAGGGTAAGAAACAGCAATTTTCAGTGGCAACAGTTCTTTCATTAGCATTTGCCTAACAAAAGGTAGCCTGTCTTAGATTTTATTTTTTTAAGCCAAGTAATATTGCTGCATCATATTCATCTATTGCATATCAACCTGAATCAAAAATAAGAAAGCAGAAGAGTACATACCATAACACATGATCCAACAAAGTGTCATGAAGAGAGAATATTTGTCCTACCTACTGTAAGATTTAAACTATTCAGCACCGCAAATCAATTTTCATTACTGTGAATAAACAATAATAAATGCTTTCAAGAATAACGTTGAATTGAGTGAAATATTAGCTGTCTAAAGTGCTTTTTATAGGGGAGTTTTCAAATTGTTTTGAAAAAAACTTCAAATAGGTCTTGATAGTGTGTTTGTAATGTTTGCAAAAGGATGGGAATAATACTTGAAATTCCAATGCAATACTAGTACTGATTAGGGACTAGAACAGGCTATCATGTGAAAAGTACAATGTGTGGCACTGGAGAATCCAGTTAGAATCCAAGTAGACTCACCACTGAAAATAAAAGTGTGTTTGTTCTTTGAGATTGACTTCTAGAATTATTTTTCCAGGCACTCCTCACATTTTTTTATGTATTTCTCTCAGTTAACATGCCTGAGGTTCGCTCTTCAATTATAACATCTTAAAACCCAAGGGAAAGACTGTGGCATGAGACAGCGGCTTGAATGAGGTGCTGGTATTGTTTACAAGTGTTTTGCTTTTGAAGAGTGTTTCTGAAATTAGCCTGAGTGCTACCTGTGAAGATAAGCCAACAATGACATTTTTGCATAAACCGTTTGCTCTATTTGTGAATGTCTAAAATATTCCCTAATCTCAGGAGAGAATAGTGCCATTTGACATGACACAGTCATTAATATTGTCAAAGCACTGAAGACAGATCTCCAGCAATATGCTAATAAAAACCTGATGAAGACTAAAAGTGCTTGTCAGTGAACAAAAAAGATTCTGTCAGCAGCCTTCTGCTGGCATACGTAGATGCTGTATTCATTAAGAAAGAAAAATTATTAGCTGTTTATGAAGACCAATTCGAAGAACAAAAAATGCTGTGATATCCAAGTTGTAAGATAGCAGGCAAACTGCTGACAATAGGCACTATAACAGGAGGTGGAGATGGAAAGAAATAATGCAGCAACATGTGTGGAAAAAGGATTTCAATGCATTTACATGAGAGATGATATCAGAAACTAGTTTTATATCCTGCTGCCATAGGACTACTCCTTTACACCTTTCAGAGGGAGACACCCCTCCCTATTTTTCCTATGTGTCATTAACATTTCAAAATTATGTTTGTGTATCAATAAAATGGATCATATAATCACCAGGAGAGTGTCTACTTGGCTACTCCATGTAATTTGGTTACCAAAGTAATTTCCTCCTAGAAAGGGGAAGTTATCTAGTGCTGGTCAATCTGTTCCATGGTTCCTTTGTTATTACACATTGTTTATGGATAAAGAATGAGCTTGTTGTATTAAAGAGATAAATATTCCTTTCCAAAATTCAAAACAGAATTACGAAAGCAGAAAACACACTGCTTATGTACGAGCACTTGTCTGCATCCTCACGTGGTGTTTTTGCTGTCTTTCCTAGGACAACATTCAACCATGAGAGACACAGGGTGGTTGCCAGCTTTCTATAGAATTTTGTTTAGTCTGCTTTCGAGTTTTCTGAACTGTGTTGATTCCTACTGCATATTCTAGACTAGTCCATTCTCTGTAGTTTACATGGCTCTGCTAGTAAGTTGCAAAACTTAAAAAGATGCGTTAAAATGAAACTCTTGTTAGCACTGTGCCTGCCCGCTTATCTCTCGCAGATCATAAAATTATGGAATCACTTAGGTAGGAAAAGACTTTTAAGATCATAGAATTAGCTGTAAACCCATAAGTGCCAAATTCACCACTAAACCACATCCACATCTTTTAAATACCTCCAGAGATGGTGATTCCACCACTTCCCTAGGCAGCCTAGGGAGCACTTGACTACCCTTTTGGTGAAGAAATCTTTCCTAATATGCAATCTAAAGCTTCTCTAGCACAACTTGTTCTATTGCCTGTTAATTAGGAGAAGTGACCTGGCTACACCCTCCTTACAGGTAGTTGTAGGGAGTGATAAGGTCTCCCCTAAGCCTCCTTCTCTCCAGGCTAAACACCCCCAGCTTCCTCAGCTGCTCCTAAGATTTATGTTCCAGACACTTCACCAGCTTCATAGCTCTTCTTTGGATGCACATGAGGAACATACCAGGCAGAAACAACATCAAGCAGCTTTGAAACTGGTTCTGCCTTAGTTGTGGGAAGCCTCCCTGGTGTTTCTGCAGGCGCTTCTCCCACCAGCGCTGGTGTGAGAAGGGCTTGGTGCAAGACTGCATTCATGGAAAGGCTTTTCCCTTGAAAGTGGCTCGTCCCTTTCTGGGACGTGCAGTACCTTCTGGGACGTGAAGTCAGGAGAGAGTGAGGGTCTGTACGAACATGTCAGCGTCGTTGGACGAGCCTTGGTCTTCCAGCAGCACAGCATAACGGAGCATGTGGATGGCATCGCTGGAGCAGCGAAACATGGGCATTCACGAGTGGCAGCGGGGACAGCCGCCCGCCGGCCTTGCAGCGGTGCAGGCGCGCGCTTCGGACGGGCGGGCGGGACGCCAAAGACCTCTGGTTACGCAGGGGACCCGGAGGGGGCGGCGGGTTCCAGCCCCCGCCCTCCGGCCTGACTGAGACACAAGCCAGGACATGGCCCCCGGTGGCGGGGAAGGGGGAAGTGGTGCAAGGGGGCTGCCCGGGACGTGCGGGGCCGGGGGCGCTGCCAGCCCGGGCGGAGGCACCACCCCCCGACAGCTGCCGGGGCGGCCCCGCCCCGCTGGGGCAGCTCGCAAAGCATGATGGGGCTTGTAGTCCCGCTCGACAGCGTCCCGCCTCCGGCTGCGAAACTACGACTGAGCGAAACTACAACTCCCGGCGGGTCGAGGGGTGTGCCCATGAGTGCCGTGTCCGAGCCCGCACGGGGCGGGGGCTGGTCCCGCTAGGTCGGGCCGCGTGGGTGGGGCTTTTCCGTGCCCAGCGGTCGCCCGCGGGACTCAGCTGCGGGAGTCGCCGGCCCTCGGCAGTGAGAGCGGGGCAGGATCGGGCGACCTCCGCCCGGGGCTGGCGGCACACACCGCTTGCGGCTCGGCGGAGCGTGGGGCGGGGGCGACGAGGGCTGAGCGGGAGGCGGCGGCAGAAGCAGAGCTCCGGCGCGGGCACCCGCTGCCCGGCGGGCGGCTGCCTAGGGGGGCGGCGATGGAGAGAAGTTAGCCCTGTCGCCGCGCTCCAGTGGCCGGGGAGAGAGGGCCAGGCCGGGTCGGGTCGGCTGGTGCTGCGGACCTTCTGCCCCCTCGCCGGGAAGCGACTAAGTGACCGAGCGGCCGACGGGGGCGGCGGAGGGTGCGCCTGTGTGGTCCCGTCCCTCGCCGGCTCCTCCCGCGGGCGGGCGGGCGGGCGGCCGGCGCTGCGGTGGTTACCGCCTCCCCCTGAAAATGAAGAGGTGGTGGCAGCTGCTGCTTCTGGGTCTGGCTGCCGGGGGGAAACCTGGATAGAGGCTCCTAAAGGAAGGTGGAGAGAAAGTCGCCGCTCTCTGGTTCGCGGAGGGGGAAGCCGGGCGTTTTTCTCACCTCGCTGCGGGGCCAAAGCCCAGCGGAGCCAGGGACGCCGGCGAGAGCCGCTCCTGCGCGCCGGGGGAGGGGGCGGGATGCGGGGGGGGCCCCGGCACCGCCGCGGGCCGTGGGCGAGAGCCTGCGGCGGGGCGGGGTGCGAGCGCCCGCGGCGGCTCTGAGCCGGGCGGCGAGGATGGTGCGGGGAGCGAGAAGTCCTGGCGGAGATCTCCCACCGGCAGCGAAGCCTCCCTGTCCTCTGCCTCCCAACCTCCCTGCCGCGGGGCCGAGGCGCTGGGCAGCATGAGGCGGCGGCGGGGACCTGTTGTGTAGGGGGAGCCGCGGATTGAGCAGCGCGGCGGCGGGGAGGGAGGATGAGGAGGACCTGCTCCCGAGGCGCTGGTGTATGTCGGCGACTGGCCCTGCCCCGGGCTGCCGCGGGCTCGGGAGAATACCTTCCTGTGGAGTAGTGACAGGGAAGCCCTGCGCCCCCGGGTCTGCGCGGAGCGGCGACCGCTTCCCGCTGGACTGCGGCTTCAGGAGGAGGAGAGCTTGAAGTGTTCCTCGGAGCTGGAGTTGCAGCCTGGTTCCTCACTTGCCTTTTTTTTTTTTTTTTTTTTTTTTTTTTTCTTCTCCTCCTTAATGGTTTGTTACGCGTATCTCTCGAGGGAACGTCTTAGGAATGGTCATTTTTAGCAGTGAAATCTGCTGCGCAAAGGAGGATTATAACAAATCTCTATGAATGATAGACTCGATTGCTAAACCTTGCCTTGACCAACCTTCTGACCCTCGGAGAAAGCTCTCAGGGTGTGCGTGGGAAGGACAAAAATAATCCTCCCATTTGAAAATAAACTTGAAAAAAAAAAGACTAATTTTTTTTGAGCCTAATTGCTTTATAATTACTTTTTTTCCTTTTTTTTTTTTTTTTTTTTTTTTTTTTTTTTTTTTTTTTTTTTTTTTTTTTTTT